TTTTTTTTGTGTGTTTTTTTTAGATCAACAAAGCTTTTAATTTCCTGCCCGCACTGACAAAACATTTCACATTCATGCAGCTGGCTTCTTTCACTTTTCAGACCTTGAATATGACTTCTGTCCCTTCGTACATCAACATTATATCCTTCAGCAAAAGCATTCGGCTTGTCTGTAACTGTTCCTACCTAAGCTGTCCTTTATTCTCCTGTTACATAAGAAGAAATCACAATGCCTCACAGGACCCTGAAGTAAAAAGATGATGAGAGCAGTCGAAAACAGAATGATTAAAATCTGTATAAGTAACGTTTTTGTGATTCTATGTCACACTGATAAAAGCAGGCATTTTAGAATAGTTTATTCCATATGATATTGAACTACATTGTGAGACACAAATTTTCTTTGGAATCACAGCTGGCACACAGCAAAACTTAAAATACAAAACACTTTTCATGGAATATTTTCCCTAGATCAGTAATCTGGCCTGCTTCAGGAATCATCAACAGTCGCGTCCATGTATTGATTTAGGCTTTAGCGGCAGCAAGCAGCTGCAGAACCCAGTGAGTGAAAGAGGGTTATAATGAAGAATCTAGCAAGGGGGTTCAGTGCTGGGTTACAGAATACGTGACGAGTTTTATGACTCTTGGCAGGAAAAGTTTAGAAGTTAGTGAGAGTAACTTAGGCATTAATGGAAAAGCTTGGTTGCAAGATTGGAGAGAGAATCTATTGTTGCTCGTAAACATGCAGGATTAAGTAATGCTTTTAAATTAGACATGTTATGAATTATGAATAAAGCTATGAGACATAATGAGGAGAATTTTGCATAGTCAGGTATTACGGATGTGTCACATCTATAAATGAGCTTTTGTATTGTTATGTTTGTAAGTAGATGTTTTTAAGAAGCTGTGAAGAGGTTTGCATAAAGAGGCACAAATTTTCAAATAGCTATTCTTTTCCAGTAGTTATTCTTATTCCTTCAGAAATAATTTGTTTTTCTTTTGTTCACCAGGATGTGTTGATTTCTGGGATAAATTATGAAGAAAAAGAAATGTTTGCCTGGTTTGCTTTAAAATTTGTGTTTTTTGTGTCTCAGTTCCATCAGGCGACTTTAAATAGAGCCCTTCCAGCCCGACATTACTGGCTTGGTAATTAAGATTTCTTTAAAGCTCTATATTGAAATATGTATGATTACATTGAAACAAGCAAACCTCCAACTTTACTACATTTATATGAGTGTCCTGCGACAGACTGGCGACCTGTCCGGGTGTACCCTGCCTCCTGCCCATAGACTGTTGGACATAGGCACCAGCCCCACCATGACAAGGGCTAAGCAATAGAAAATGAATAGATGGATGGATATCCAAGTGTCCACAGCAACGCCTGGGTATAAACTTGCTTTTTTCTTTGCTCTTCATCAAAACAGGAAAAACAAGTAAAAAGGCTATTCAAGTAAGACAGGTGTTAGTTTTTTCATCGTCAACCGTCTGAAAACTGTGTTGCAAAAGACTCACGCCAGTAGTGTCTCATTTATCGCTGTTGCAGATCTAGTGAACTGCCACAGAAAACTGAATTTGCATCTCAGATAATGACCTAAAACATGAGGCCAAACCCACAGAAATACATTTACCTGTGGCATCTCAGTTCCAACAACTATATCCTGTAGAAACTTTGTGGAAGGAGCAGAAAGTAACAGAGAGGAACAAGAAACCTTGAGAATTTTAGAGTGATGGAAAAGATCAGAGACCTTCCCTCATTCATGCACAGACCTTCAGGATTTAGTTTGAGATTTAACAGCAGATTTGTCAACTAATGATAGTTGAGTAAAAATAATATATTTTAATACATCTTAACATTATTTCTGTCCAACTCAAAAGTTCAAATGGAAATATTATGAGTGCTTAAAAATCTGAAGTAACTTTGTCCTGGTATGACCAACATCCTCCCCGTCCAGCTATAAGTCCTCCTGCCCTCCAACCTGCCTATGCTGAGAGATGTAGAAAAGGAGGTAAAGTACTGTAAGTAATGTGTGGAGTGTGACAATTGAAATACTTAACACTTAAGAGAAATGCTCATTTTAATTTTAAGCTGCAACATTGGCCTTAAGGTAGATCTACTGTAAAAGTCATGTTTCAACCTCAGTTTTTAAGCATCTTGAAATATGTACATTAAGTTTTGAGAATTAAGAGCTCGTCAAAATTTTTTGTAACAAAAGTAATCAAAATATTTTGATCTGAGTGACATTGTATTCTCAATGATAGGGCTCGTTTATGTCAGACATGCCCAAAGTCCCGCTGTCCTGCAGGGTTTACAGCTTTCTCTGCTCCAACACAGCTGATTTTTAGCTGATTAATAGACAGAAGTGCAATTATCAGAATCAGCTGTGCTTAAGCAGAGAAACCTCTAAAACCTGCAGGACAGCAGCCCAAACGACTTTGGGCATGCCTGGGTTATGTCAGTTGTCAATCTGAACAACATGCACCAAGACACTTGATTGAATCCTGTCTTTCTGCAGTGGTAAAATTACCTAACTGGGCATGTGTGCTTTTTGTCAACAAGCCACATTTCCACCCATAGTATCATGATGCATAATCCCTGGAATGCTGGTCTGCTGCCACATTAAGCCTCTTGTTTAATTTTGTAGTAATGCCTCGGCCACTCAAAACCTTACACAGGCTTACTCTGGGCACTCCGTACATCTGGAACATGTTTGTTTACATTTTTATCAGCACAGTTTGACGAACAAAGTGGTTTTATCTTCGGTTTTTTTATGCTTGGTTCACAAGGCAAGATTTTAACATTGCCATTTAAGTTATTAGAGCCCCAACACATGACAACAGAAAAATCTTAGATACAATAGGTTGGTCCAACAGTTTGCACTGTACAGCCAGATTTCACTCACTAGACACACAGAT